TTATGTAAAGCTGCCTCTTTTTCATGTTCTGTATCTCTGCCTGCTGCACCCTTTTCTACACTTACTATGACGTGAAACAGGTTTACTTAATTTTTTGTCTGTCCTTCCATCAGCATACATGCTCTATGAAGACAAGGCTCTAGTTGCCCTGTTTTATAGTTAAAGCCCCAAGATTTACCACAACATCTGGCACCTTAAGAGAATCTGAAAAAATACTTTCTGAATGAATGAAAGAACAGTTACAGGTAGTTTCATATCAGCGTAATGAATCTTTAAAATTTTTCATATGATCATTATGTATTAGTTATCAATCCCAATTCTATTTTACCTGTACATTTTATTTGTATGCCTTCGTTTTATCCATTTGCTTATTCATTCACTCATGAAAAAAAATTAAGAGTTTAAACGTCAGCCATAGAGATTATAAAGACCAAGTTCTTTACCTTTTAAAGATCACACCATTTATCAAGGAAAATCAATGTGGATAAAACTAAATTATACTTTTACCAAAAAAGTTATTAACTCAAATACAAAGCCTTAAATCTAATTAAAATGTTGAAATAAGGGGAAGAAAAGATGAGACCTTTGAAACAAGTAATAGTGTAGTTACATCTATCAAAAAAGGAAATCAACCTAATTAGGCATAACTTTTTCTTAGTGAATTCATTTTGGCTCTCGGTGGTCATGTCTTTCTTTTTGTAAATGTTTACAATACATCTTTGAAGTGTAATATATCATAATAAATTGTAATATATTATTACCAGGACAATGTAGCTTCTTTTACAATGAGAGCAATTAGGGAAAATCCATTCAATGGTATACTTTGGTTTGTTTTTAGTCCCAGTATTTTTTATTTAAATACTATTTTTTAAAGATTTTATGTATTTACTTGAGAGACAGAGAGCAAGAACATAAGCAGGGGGGAGGGAGAAGCAGACTCCCCACTGGGCAGAGAGCCCAATGTGGGACTTGATCCCAGGACCCCTGGGATCATGACCTGAGCCAAAGGCAGACACTTAACTGACTGAGCCACCCAGGCGCCCTACTTAAATACTATTTTTTTAAGCCTTTTTTTTTTTTTAAAGATTTTATTTATTTATTTGAGAGAGAGAGAATGAGAGAGAGCAAGCACATGAGAGGGGGGAGGGTCAGAGGGAGAAGCAGACTCCCCGCCAAGCAGGGAGCCCGATGCGGGACTCGATCCAGGGACTCCAGGATCATGACCTGAGCCGAAGGCAGTCGCTTAACCAACTGAGCCACCCAGGCGCCCCCCTACTTAAATACTATTTAAAAAGAGTGAGAGTTGGGCGCCTGGGTGGCTCAGTTGGTTAAGCGACTGCCTTCGGCTCAGGTCATGATCCTGGAGTCCCGGGATCGAGTCCCGCATCGGGCTCCCTGCTTGGCGGGGAGTCTGCTTCTCCCTCTCCCACTCCCCGTTTGTGTTCCCTCTCTTGCTGTGTCTCTCTCTGTCAAATAAATAAATAAAATCTTAAAAAAAAAAAAAAAAAAAAAAGAGTGAGAGTACTGAATGTTTATCGAAAGGGGGCATAAACGAAAAAAGAATGAGAATCTCTGCTGCAGGCAGGCAGATTTCAGTTAAATATAAGGAAGAACTTTCTAGTAGTTAGAGCTGCCTACAAGTGGGCTTCTTGTCAAGCAGGAAGCTCTCCATCAGTAAAAAAAAAATCTTTAAGGAGAGCCAACAGGACATTTTCCCCAGGATAGAGCAGAAACAGTCTTGATTTAGCAGGCAGCATTGATCAGATCAGTGTCTTCACTATGGTGAAGAAGCACTTCTAAAAAAATTTCCAGCTTGTAGTGGACCAATACATTTACAAATTACAAAAGTAATTTTGTAATCACACATTTGGATGTTACCACAATGTCAAAGTGCTCTAAGGGTTTCTAAATGCTTACTTTTGATTTCTGTTCTTAATTCATTGCATACAGGTAACAAACTGGCCCACATGAACAAGCAAACTATACTTTTGAGTAGCACTGAATTAGAGAGTTTTTAAGAGATTGCTGAGGTTCTATAGCTTTTCAAATTTACCTAGTCTGTCTTCCTTTTTATATTCATTAAGCATAATATCAACTGCTTATTTCCTAACAACTAACCTCTCTTCAGCAATTTAAAAAAGCATAATCTAAAAGATATTAATCTGAAAGCATTAGATTAACTGAGATTTTATCTCATTAAATTGAATAGCAAACTTTACTTTTTACCAAAACACATCCGAATGCTCATTTAAAACTGGTTACAAAAAATTTATTTTCAGCCATCCCCACACCTAATTTTTTTGTGTCACTTTCTTTGCACAAGTTGATAATGAAATGTGTGACAAATTATAGTTGATCACACATTTGAAGTTCCAACTTTGTTTTACTGGCTGGCAGCAAAACCAGCAGAAATGTGACTTGGGGATGAAGTGGGGGTATATTCATGAATTTCAGAAGCATGGAGTAGAGGATTTAAGTTTTGCAACTACCTATATAACACTCAGTCAGTGCTGACCTGGTCAAAGCAAATATGATAAGGAATTAGAAAAAGAGGAAACAAAACTGGGGCACCTGGGTGGCTCAGTTGTCGTTAAGCGTCTGCCTTCGGCTCGGATCATGATCTCAGAGTCCTGGGATCGAGCCCCGCATCAGGCTACCTGCTCCCCCACTCCCCCTGCTTGTGTTCTCTCTCTGTCAAAATAAGTAAAATACTAAAAAAAAAAAAAAAAAAAAAAAAAAAAAAAAAAAAGAAGAGACAAAATTAAGAGTTCCCCATTCTCATATTTCCCCAAATACTTCTAGCTTTCTCTCTCCGAAAACAATGAGACATTTTTGTTGAAAATCTGTTACCTTCCTCTCATTAAAAAGAAAACAAAACGACCTTCCTTCTCAAGAGACCATTTCAGGATTTATGAGTTATCATCTCCCGACTCCATCATCCATGAATACTTTCCCTCCAGTGATGGCAATATTCCTTAATTCACCCTACTTTTATTAGAGCAGTTCTTAACTGTGAGCATACACATGGGTGTTGGGAAATCTATGAACTCTCTGAAACTCCAAATGTTTTTAAAATTGTGGGTGAATGAGCAATTATATGAACAAAATGTCCACAGTTGTCAATACATTCTTAGAGGGTACAATAATCCAAAATGATTAAAAGCATCTTTCTTGAGTGAAAAATGTGATCTGAATAGAAATATACAGTACAGGTTCTTCATTAATTGAATAGGCATATAAAGATATTATATCACTTAACAAAAAGGACTTTAGAAATAAATCCCCTCAGGGGCGCCTGGGTGGCTCAGACAGTTAAGCGTCTGCCTTCGGCTCGGGTCATGATCCCACGGTCCTGGGATCGAGCCCCACGTTGGGCTCCCTGCTGAGCAGGGAGCCTGCTTCTCACTCTCCCTCTGCCTGCTGCTTCCCCTGCTTGTACACTCTCTCTCTCTGTCAAAAATAAAAATAAAATCTTTAAAAAAAAAAAAAAGAAAGAAAGAAATCCCTTCATTTTATAGAAGATAAAATTGACATTTTGAGAGGTAAAGGGAGTGTTCAAGGTCATACTGCTAGTTAGAAGGCAGAAGCCAGAGAAAAACACCAGCCTCCGGCTTCCAGGTCCATTCCCTCACATCCTGCTACTACGCGGGGCCAGACAGGATATCAGTAAGCATACTACAAGCAGTCAACAATCCCACCTCTGATAAATATATGACCTCGGAGTAAATCAAGTAATTCTGTAAACACCACTGGCTCATAGGAAATACATTTTCTTTTTTTACTAAATGTATCTAAAAATACATGTTCTCTTAGATACATTTTAGAACTTGCTTCCCTTGCCAGTAGGCACAATCAACAACTTGTCAATCATCTGAAAGACATGAGTGCCTGATCCTACTGCAATCAATCAGAGAAGGGCATACACTTGACCTGGAAGGGACAAAGGATGTTTAGTAGGAGACAGAGGGCTTCAAGGAGGCACTTTAAACACATTTCTTTCTGAGCCAATTACTCTGAAAGCCCACAATGCGAAGTAAATTAGTTAAGTGGATCTTTTAGTAACTGTTGAAGCTATTTAGAAATTTTAAGCAAAATCTCTTTTCAAAGTTTATTCTCTTATTTATTCATACTAAAGAAGAGCAAATAAAAAAGCCAAAGATGATGTTTAGTGAAAAGAATTTTTATAGTACATAATTAAGTGAGGAAACTGAAAAAGAATGCCCTACTTTGGTGTCAGGATGTGTAGAAATCCAAAATTTGTTTTTAATTTTTTTCAAAAAAATTGGAAAACTGGAAGTCTGTAAATAAGAATCCAAAAAACCCTTCATTTTCCTCCCCCACTGCACCCTTGACTTCTGAAATACAGTGCAACTTTCTACCATCTGTTATTTTAGAGAAGAAACAGTAATGAACATATGGGCTTTCTCTCTCAAGCAGCTGTAGTGTAGTTAAAGTAATAATAATTGTCTTTCTGTAAGATAAATTTACATTAATAACCTTAATGTTATTAAGTTAAAAACAAATGGCTCAGCCTCAGAGCCTTCCAGAATAAAATTAAGAAATTCAGAATTATCTATGACATAGTACAGAGATTTAGAAGATACCCTCTAAATCTTATGCTTTTATGTTTAAGGTTAAACAAACATAATTCATGACGCCCATATCAATTCACACAGAGTCCACAACTCATGTTTTCTCTTTCCCAGTCAAAATGCTAGGAGCCTCAAACAGGGGCTAGGTACACATATATAAAAATCAGTAACTAAGTTCTTGAAAGCTGATAATATGAATCCACCACCTCTGTGGGTTACTGAACTCCAATCCAAAAGCTTATTTATTTGTAAGAAAAATCACAATACATGTGGCACATAAACTTCTATTTCAACAATATATATATAAATATCACTTACATATATCACTTATAATGAGTTTAAGTAAACTGAAAGGAATTCAGAACAGATTCAGATCCACATATTATGAAAAATAGGAATTTTACCTACCTTTATCTGGGTGATTCAAAATCATGATTCTCCTATGAGCTGTTCTAATCTTGGCCTTGCCAGCAGATGGGCTGTAAAAAGAAATTAAAGTGCTTATAATAAATAGTGTCGAATGCAGATTATAAATTGACAGTTTATATGGCTTTCAAGGAATTAAAAACTAATGAGAATTTCACCATCTTGTGGCTAAATATGAAATTACAGCTTGTCACTGAAGTCTACTAACCATCAAAATAAACTGTTCATTCAATATTGCATGTATTTTTCTTCCTTTGTAATGCCAGTCTCTATTTTCAATCAATTAAAAAAAAAGAACACAATAGGAGCGCCTGGGTGGCACAGTCAGTTAAGCAACCCACTCTTGGTTTCAGCTCAGGTTGTGATCTCAGGGTGGTGAGATCAAGCCCCGAGTTGGTCTCCAGGCTCATCGTGAAATCTGCTTGAGATTCTCTCTCCCTCTCCCTCTGGCCCTCCCGTTCATGCTCTCTCTCTTTAAAATAAATACATCTTTAAAAAATAAATGAATAAAATAAAACACAACATACAGGGTAGGAGAGTCATAGTCTATAGACTATACTGAGTTTGAAAACATATGCCTCAAGTTATTTGGGGGGAAGGCAGTTTACATAATGTAACAGACAGGTATCTGGACTCCAGAGCTACTAGACTGCCAGATTTCATTTCCATTGCTATTTCGGATGGGGTAAACGCAGTCAAAAGTTTTAACCTCTCTGTACTTCAGATTCCTCATTGTAAAACAGGGCTAAGAACAACATATTCCTCATAGAGCGACTGTAGGGATTAAATGAGTTAAAGCCGACAAAGTGCTAGAGCAGTGCCTGGCATGTAGCAAGTGCTTCAGAATAGTTAGCTTTCATTATTATTATTATGTTTCAACAGAGCATCTCAAAACTCTTCATAGCTCATAATTTATTTAACTTGTGAGAAACCTATGGGAAAAGCTGTAACAAAAATTGAGAACGTTAAATGAACTTAAAATTATTTCAGTAAAAACTAATTTATCCAGTATTGGAAAAGTTTCTGACTAGCACATTTTCCAAGCAAGGAAACAAAATTAACAGTTAACAACAACAAAATTCTGGTATTGCTAATTAATAGCTATACTATCTTATCTAAGTTATTTAACTTTCCTGGGTCTCAAATTGGGACAATGGCAGCTGACTTAAAGTACAGAGTGGTTGTTGTAAAGCTCAAAGTAATTTAATTTGTATGGATGAACCACACTGTACTGGATAAAAGCAGGTACTTTTAGAGATATTCAAACATAGGTTCAACATTCTGATTCCACCATTCATTAGCTGCAAAACTCTGTCTTGCTCACTTAAACTCTCTGAGTGAAAATTCTCTCCTAAGTAAAATGGACATACTAAACTATCTCCCACAGGGCGCTTGGGTGGCTCAGTCATTAAGCATCTGCCTTCGGCTCAGGTCATGATCCCAGGGTCCTGGGATCGAGCCCCTCCCTGCTCTGCGGGAAGCCTGCTTCTCCCTCTCCCACTTCCCCTGCTTATGTTCCCTCTCTCGCTGTGTCTCTCTCTGTCAAATAAACAAATAAAATTAAAATAAATAAATAAATAAAATAAACTACCTCCCAGGATTATTTTAAGAATAAATTAGATAATGCAAGTAAAAGGATCAGCATAACCTAGCATAGAGTTAGTGTTCAAAAATAACTAGCCTTTAGTTATTATTATAAAGATAAAGCATGCTTATGAAAATATATTACATATTTCCCACTTTTAAAAATGTAGTATAAGAGGCGCCTGGGTGGCTCAGTTGGTTAAGCGACTGCCTTCGGCTCAGGTCATGATCCTGGAGTCCCTGGATCGAGTCCCGAATCGGGCTTCCTGCTCGGCGGGGAGTCTGCTTCTCCCTCTGACCCTCCCCTCTCTCCTGTGCTCTCTCTCATTCTCTCTCTCAAATAAATAAATAAAATCTTTAAAAAAAAAAAAAAAAAACCTTTAAAAATGTAGTATAAGTAACCTAATTTATTTCTTGAATGACTCAAAAGTATTAACCTGAGTATAAATTAAGTGCAAAGAAATTCTTAAGATCTGCAGATATTTTTGTTCACCCTTGTCTTTTTTTTTTTTTTTTTTAAAGATTTTATTTATTTGACAGAGAGAGATACAGCGAGAGAGGGAACACAAGCAGGGGGAGTGGGAGAGGGAGAAGCAGGCTTCCCGCGGAGCGGGGAGCCCAATGCGGGGCTCGATCCCAGGACCCTGGGACCATGACCTGAGCCAAAGGCAGACGCTTAACAACCGAGCCACCCAAGTGCCCCTGTTCACCCTTGTCTTAAAAGAGTCCTCGAATGCTTTCCATTTAAGTTCTTCTGTCTGTTTTTAGCACTGCCTCCCGTGATATCAGCTGTGAACCCTTGATTCTGCCATTGTTCCAGTCTAGCTATTCCTTGACAGTTACTTATACTTCTAATCTTTTGAGGTTAAGTAACAGATCACCAAGCATGTTAAAACACACTATCAACTGCTGAATATAAAATATTCTTCTATGAATAAAAAAATGTCTTGAGTCAAAGACAAAATCAAAAGAGAAAAAAAACATCGAGACAAATGCAAATGAAAATGGAAATATAACAACAAATTTATGGGATGCAGCAAAAGCAGTTCTAAGATGGAAGTTTACAGTCAGTTTATAGTAATAAATGCCTATATTAAGAAAAAAGAAAGAGCTCAAATAAACAACTTTATTTATGCCTCAGGGAAGTAGAAAAAAGAAGGATAAACTAAGGCCAAAGTTAGTTGAAGGAAGGAAATAACAAAGATCCAGAGTAAAAATAAATGAAACAAAGATTAAAAAGACAATAAAAAGTTGTCTTTTATTGTCTTAATGAAATGAAGGGCTGTGTTTTTGAAAAGATAAACAAAATAGGCAAACCATTAGCTAGACTCTCAAGAAAAAAGCAGAGAGAACTCAAATAAAATCAGAAATGAAAGAGAAGACATTACAACTGATACCACAAAAATACAAAGGATCATAACTATTATCAACCATTATACACCAACAAAATGGACAATGTAGAAGAGACAAATACTACAAACATATAAACTACCAAGACTGAATGAGGAAGAAATAGAAAATCTGAACAGACCAATTATTAACAATGGATTGAATCACTAATCAAAAACCTCCCAACAGAGAAAACCCCAGGATGAGACACCTTCACTGAAATCTACCAAACATCTAAAGAATACCAATTCTCCTCAAACTTTTCCAAAAAATAGAAGAGGAAACGCCTTCCAAACTCATTTTATGAGGCAAGCATTATCCTGATACCACAAGCAGACAAGGACACTAGAAGAAAAGAAAATTACAGGCCAATATGCCCGATGAACATTGATGCCAAACTCATCAGCAAAATATAAGCAAACCAAATTCAACAAAACATTAAAAGGATCATACATCATGAACAAGTAGGATTTATTCCAGGGATGAAAGGATGGTGCAATATCCACAGATCAATCAATGTGAAACACCATAAATGTGAAACAAAATAAAGGATAAAAATCATGACATTTCCAAAGATGTAGAAAAACATTTGACAAAATTCAACACCCATTCATGACAAAAACTCTCAACAAAGTTAGTATAGAGGGAATATACCTCAACATGATAAAGGCCATATGACAAATGCATAGCAACTATCATACTCAATGGTGAAAAGCTCAGAGTTTTTCCTCTGAGATTAGATACAACACAGGTTGTCTGCTCTCACCACTTTTATCCAACATAGTACTGGAAGTCATGGCCAGAGGAATTAGGCAAGAAGAAGAAATGAAGAGCATCCAAATCGGAAACAAAGAAGTAAAACTGCAGATGACATGATATTACATAAAGAAAACCCTGAAACTGTTAGAACTAACCAATCAATTAGGTAAAGTTGGAGGATACAAAATCAATATACAAAAATCTGTTGCCCCTCTAATACACTAAAAACAAACTATCAGAAAGAGAAAGTAAGAAAATCCCATTTACAATTGCATCAAAAAGAATAAAATACCTAGAAATAAATTTAACCAAGGAGGTTAAAGACCTATACACTGAAAACTATAAGACATTGGTGAAAGAAATTAAAAACACCAATAAATAGAAGGATATCCCACACTCACGGATTGGAAGAATTCATTTTGTTAAAATGTCCAGACTATTCAAAGCAATCTACAGATACAATGAAATCCCTATCAAAATTCCTAAGGCATTTTTCACAAAAATGGAACAATCCTAAAATTTGTATGGAACCACAAAGACTCCAAATAGCCAAAGCAATCTTGGGAAAGAACAAAGGTGGAGGCATCACACTTCCTAAATTCAAACTATATTACAGACCTATAATAATCAAAACAGTATGGTATTAGGTTAAAAACAGACACATACATCAATGGAACAGAATAGAGAACCCAGAAATAAACCCATATATATATGGTCAATTATGACAAAGGAGCCAAAAACAGAAAACAAATAAACGATAGTTTCCTCAATAAATGGTATTGGGAAATCTGGACAGCCACATGCAAAGGAATGAAACCGGACCCTTATCACACCACACATGAAAATCAACTCAAAATGGATTAAAGCCTTGAACTAAAGACCTGAAACCATAAAGCTCCTAGAAGGAAATACAGGGGGTAAGCTCCTTGACATCAGTCTTTGCAGTAATTTTTAAAATTTGAAATCAAAAGCAAAGGCAACAAAACAAAATTAAACAAGTGGGACTACATCAAACTTTAAAAAGTTTCTACACAGTAAGGAAAACCATCAACAAGATGAAAGAAGTCACCTATGGAATAGGGAGAAAATATTTGTGAATCATATATCTAGTAGGAGGTTATTTCCAAAATAAAGAACTCATACAATTCAATAATATAGCATAGCTAGATAGATAGGTGGATCTGATTTCAAAATGAGTGGAGGATCTGACTAGACCTTTTTCCAAAAACATAAAATGGCAAACAGGTACATGAGGTGATCAGCATCACTAATCACCGGGGAAATGCAAATCAAAACCACAATGAGATATCACCTCACAGCTTGTAGAATGACTGTCATCAAAAAGACAAGAAATAAACAAATGTTAGAAAGATGCAAAGGGAACTGTTCATGGAAATGTAAACTTTGCAATCTATATGTATTATACATATAGCAAATCAATATGTTTTACATCCTACATATACAATGTTTTTTGTCAATTATATCTCAATAAAACTAAAGGAGAATTTTTAAAATTAAAAAAAATTTAAAAAAAAAGTCTTTTAGTGTAAGGACTATTAGGGTATTCCTTTTCACTGTTTTTTGAAAGTCCTCTGGGGGACCATTTCAAACTTACTTTTTGTTTTGTAGATACTTCCCAGATAGCCAATCAAGACACTGTCTGATTCTAAAGACTACTAAGTTTTGAAAAAGAAGTCATTAAACACTGCACCAGGGCTATGAACACTTTAACTGCCTAATTATTAAGAAATGAAAAACACATTATTTTTTTTTTAATTCCAATATGTTTAGTTTCCTGTAGTAAGTCTATATTTATCATTCTCTTTCCTTTATTAGTTATGTTTCCTAGCTCTTCTGTAGATATTTGACATGTCTCCTTAGGTAGATACTAAAGAACAGAAGCTATGTTTTGTATCTTAAAATAGCATCTAGTATTAAATATGCAATAGATGCTTAATGCATTTTATACAGCCCTCCAAAAGAAAATGGCTATAAAGGGGCACCTGGGTGGCTCAGTCGTTAAGCATCTGCCTTTGGCTCAGGTCTTGATCCCAGCGTCCTGGGATCGAGCCCCGCATTGGGCTCCCTGCTCAGCAGGGGTCTGCTTCTCCCTCTGACCCTCCTCCTTCTCATGTTCTCTCTCTCTCTCCCATTCTCTCTCTCTCTCTCCAATAAATAAATAAAATCTTTAAAAAAAAAAAGGTAATAATTATCAGACTCATAGTGATGAACTTTGGGAATGAGGGAAGTATTCTTGTGTGCCTACAGAGTTTATTCCCTTTTCCTTATTGCTATATTAAGTCTCTAGGAACTTAGTACATTTTAATAAATTTATTTGTTGTTCTAAAGATTAAACAAGATGGGAGAATCGTAGTTCTTAAACATAGTATAAAAATTAAATAAAGAGCAATGGATCTCCAGTACAAACAATTTCACCATGAAATTGAAAGTATAACTTTAAATATCACATTTCCTAGATCAAGGAATACACAGTGTTCCCTGGAATGTGTACCCACTTTGACTGGGACTGGGAATTGGGGTGCATGGAACTGAGTGGTGTTCTCTAATCCTGGGGCAAATGGAGTAGTTTTGGTTTCATCATTTTTACTATTGGTCTTTTGAGTAACATTTAGCTTAACACAGTTCCACAGAAGTTTTCAAAAAGTATGAGAATCACACATGTGCATCACTTCAGAGAGTAACAGGTATAGTAATAGTTTTTCTGGGCAGCTCGGTAAAATATATTAGGTTTCATGAATATGTAAGAATGTACAGGATCATCTAGTAGCACATAGAGTATTTTTTAATAGGTTATCCATACAGTCAGCTCCATTTTGCCTTTACCTATTTGTTATATAGTCTATATAGCTTAGATTCATTGATCATAGAGAATGGAGCCACGGCAATGTATTCACATCTTAAAGAATCTTCTCAAAATCAACACTACCTGATTGAAAGAAAGGGCTAGAGGAAAGCAAATAAGGCTTACCCTTCTATTTAATGTGTTAAGAGCAAATATTTAGCTTCTGCATTTGTGATACAGATAGGAAGAAAGAGGAGCCAACATTTATTTAGCACCTGTTATTTGGTAGGTACTTTTATAAAAAGGTATCCTCCTATCATTTTACATTATTTCAACAAGGCTAAATAGTATTAATTCTATTCAAAACTGAAGAAACTGAAGGGCAGAAGAACTAAAAATAAGTTGACCGGGGGGCACCTGGGTGGCTCAGTCGGTTAAGCATCTGCCTTCAGCTCAGGTCACGATCCCAGGGTCCTGGGATCAAGTCCCGCATCGGGCTCCCTGCTCAACAGAAGCCTGCTTCTCCTTCTCCCTCTGCCTGCCACTCCCTCTGCTTGTGCTCTCTCTGTCAAATAAATAAAATCTTAAAAAAAATAAATAAATAAAATAACTTGACCAGACTCGTACAATGTGGTGCTTTAGTGATAGAACCGGGACAAGGATCTGTTTTGCTCAGCTGGTATTTGTTGAGTAGTTACTAAGTGCCATGTTTATATTAAGAATTATCTATGTATTAGTCTTCACAACAGTCCTAGGCAATAGAAACTGATATTATGTTTATTTTACAAATGATGACATTGAGGTCACACAGCTGGTAAATGGTAAAACCGGTATTCATACTCAGACTCACCTGTAATTAGAGGATATACTCTTAACAGCAAATTATCCTTGTGAAATTTTCTACAGTTTCTAGTTCAACAGGATAAACCTTTATAACCATAAATCTTAAGTTCTAATTATCTGTCTCAATAACAGGAGTGCCTTGGATGATGTTAAATGATATTCTCAAGAACCTTTGTATATTCCTATTTCAAGACTATGAATGGGATGGTGTGGGGACCCAATAAAACTTCAAGAAAAATAACAATGCCATCCTGAATAATATTAAAGCAAATAATAATCAGCAATATAGCCAACTTCCTAATTTGGTTCCCCTACCTGAAACCTATTCTCAGTGAGAGATTTCATCTTTTATTTAATAAAGCACCAAGCTGAACTGAGCTGTTTCCCTTGCTTGTTCACCCCTTTGTTTTTCTTGCTAAGGCAAAAGAAGTAATTAAATGTTTTGGCCTTAAAAATCTGCTAATCTACAAGAGATTTAAAAGACTATATCAACATAGGGCTTTATGACCTATATTGCTTGTGTTGATTAAATCATCAGAAGATCTGTTGTGGATGACATACTATAACCAACCCCCACAAAAATTTGAGTGAGTTCTAAAGGAACATAAAGTAAACAAATGAATATATCAACTAGCAAATCTATAGCAGGGTACATCACTTAACACTAAAGTTAGGAAGATATCACAGAGCAATCACACAACAACATTAACTTTCTCCTATGCTGTCCAAAGTCACACAATAGATACTAAGGTGAAACAATTATAATAAAATATGCTAGATCAAATTATGGAAATAGAAAAGAATTGTGAAACAGATCCCATGTTATAACAGAAAAATGATTAGATAGCAAATTATAAAACTAAATCCAGAAACAATTCAGTGTCACAATAAGGGATATTTTGATAATTGCTGTGAAACTAGTATTAAGAGTTCCTTGTTAAGGAATAAAGACACAGCACATCATGCCTGATATTTTTAGGGGGAGTAGGATATTCTCTTAGATGTGAAGTTTTAAAATGTAAAAATTTTGTATTTTCTTCCTCTGCCTCCTATTCATAACTTAAAATATAAGGATAACTTTACTGTAACATTTTCTCCTTTTTCCAAAACAAGCTTGGCCACAAACAAAATAATACTTATTCAGCACACGTACCTTATACCCAAAATAAGACTAGCTTCTCGCCTACTCATTTTCTGTTCAAATCCTCCTTTATAGTAGGATGAAAGGCTCTGTACAGGAAAGAAAGAGCATGATATAATTAGTTCCACGTATGAGGTGGCATGACCTCAATCCCATCATAGCTGCAGTAAGAGCAATGCATTTTACTAGAAGTCAACTCGAAACTGTGAAGGGGCGAGCACTAAGCAATGATCCTTTACAAGAAACCATGACCAAGATGAACTTAATATTTCACTTTCAAATACATTAATTTTTCTACACTAAGATATACCAGAAAAAAAGAAATCAGTAGAAGCAAAAGGCTTGAACTTTTCCTAAACTCTGCAGTAATTTTCTCATTGGATAACCTTGATAAGTTATTAATGTTAGTATGACACACATCTTTTTTACCTCCAGGACTGGCTGATAGAGAAGGAAGAGGAGGAACTGACAAAGTGGGGAGGACATCAGGATAGCAGACAGGCAGGCCAAGAGAGACCAGAAAACAACTGCAAGGTCCCTGAAAGGTGACTGGAAAGGCAGGAGCCAGGAAGAGAGTAGTATTAGAGAGGCTATTGGGCCAGACTGGCCGGGGGGTGGGGACAGGCCATAAGCAATAGAAATAATTTAGGATTCTATTCTCAGAGCACTGGAGTAATGTCATTTGACTTTCTTTTGAAAGGATTACTCTAAATGCTATGTGGAGAATAGAAAGAGTGGTGCAAGAGGGAAGCAGGAGACCCGTTAAGAGGACATAACAATAATCTAGGCAAGAGATGATGGTGGTATGGGCCAGTGTGGTAATAGCAGAGCTAGTTTAAAAGTGATCAGATTCTAAATGTATTCTGAAAGCAACACTATGAGAGAGGGATCAAAGATGATGTAGTAAACACTACCATACACTGCGCAGCTTCTCCTTCAGAAGTGAAGGACTTACACTTTGGGTGCTGGGGCTGTTGCTGGCAGATGGCAGTGAGCCGTCAGACTCTTCAGGAATTGCCTTGGCTGAAGAAAGTCAAGTTCAGGTCCCCTTCCCAGAGCAGTCTCTATTTAATGACTGGTTGATATGGGGGTATAAACACTGTAGTTCTCTAGAGCTCAGTCCTTAGACTTCATATCTATAATTCACTTATCAGGTGATATCATTTAGTCTCATGGCTCCTTGCCCCAATCTGGGACAACCACCATGAGCCATCTGGGCTTCAGAGCTTGGCATGGGGTTGGCTGAGGCCTTTGTTACGACTGTACTGCAGCCTAAATTGTCCCTTTGTCCTTCTTCCTTCTCTTCCCTTCTGGAACTGTCGATCATACGAGCACTCCCTAATGAACTACTGTTGTACGATTTCTATTCCTTTAGTGCCCACGGTTCGTGGTCATACTGCTTCGAAGAATGAAGAGGGAGACCAGACGAAGAGTGGTAGACAGCAAGGCAAAGTTTATTGAGCGACAGTACAAAACTCCCAGAGAGGGAGGAGACCCAAGAGGGTTGCCATTTTGACATTTAAATCCAGGGGTTCTTATGAGCTCTTTTGTGGAACTATCTTAAGGATCCTAAGTGTGGGCCCCCTGTGGATTGGCTGCTAAGGCATGCCAATCAGGGCTTTGATCACACACCCGTCTACCTACTGGGTTATTATTCACATGCTGGTGGTCTTTTGGGTTAAATGGAGATATCCATATCTAAATGGAGAAGTGTGACTTGGAGGTAACATTGGGGAGTCATGAGTATATATACAGTATGTAAAGCCATGAGACTGAATGAGATCACCTAAGGAGTGAGAGAAGAGAAGAAGTCCAAAGACTGAACCCTAGAGATTGCAAGTCTGAGGGGCAGAGAAATGGAGATGAATCAGTAAGCAGACAGGAGGCCCAGCAGTGAGGCAGAAGGAAAAGCAGACACCAAAAGTAAGGGAAAAACAGTTTCAAACACTTCTGATAGGTTAAGTTAGATGTGAGCTGAGACCTGACTGCTGGATTTATCAAAGAGGTCAAAGTCGTTGACAAGAGCTGCAGGGAGGGGCGCCTGGGTGGCTCAGTCATTAAGCGGCTGGCTGCCTTCCGCTCAGGTCATGATCCCAGGGTCCTGGGTTTGAGCCCCCACATCGGGCTCCCTGAGCAATGGGAAGCCTGCTTCTCCCTGTCCCACTCCCCCTGCTTGTGCTCCTTCTCTCACTGTGTCTCTGCCAAATAAATAAATAAAATCTTTAACAAAAAAAGCTCTTTTTTAGAGCTGCAGGGAGTGGGAGTGAGAGTCTGATTAGAGTGGGTTTAAGAGAGAACAGGAGGGAAGGAATGGGAGACATCAAGTACAGACAATGCTTTAGGAGTTCTTAACGGAGAAACAGGATGCATGAACTCAACTTTGAAAAGGAAAAAATACATCAATGATTGTACTGCTTATAAGTTTTTAAAACATGAACCCCTATTTTTGTAAGGAAAAATAAGTAAGTGTATGTTTACATAAAACAACACCAGAAAGTATATACACTAAAATGTTATTTTTGGTTGGTGACATCATGAGTAATTTTTTTTTCTTTATGTTTATTTTTACTTTCTAAATTTTCAACAATGAACACAGGCTACCTGTACAATTTTTAAAAAAGAGAACTAAATAAAAGACCAAGGAAATTATTAGAACTTAAAAAATGAACCAGATCTGGTCATTTATATAAGCTGTTGTCTTTGAACAGCTTGTTAAAAATTTCTACTTGGTAATAATTCCCTGGCAATTAATTCATTTAAACAAGCACTTCAGCACCTAGTACATGCCAGGAACATTTCAAATGAGACAGGTCAAGTTTTGTCCTTCATCACACAGATGCTAACCTATCAATGTACCAGTGTTGTGAGGAATATGATAGATGATTTCAAGTTTCAAGTAATTAACAATCTAGAAAGAAAACTAAAAATAATACCCTTCTCCAAGGTCTGAGTGGAGGAAGAGAATCAAATTATTTAAGTACACATAGTAACCTGGACAAATTATACACACGCACACACGTACATGTATACACACACACACGTACATGTATACACACACACACACACACGGAGGGGAATATATAAAAGACTAGGGGATCTAACAGAGGAATAACAGCTGGTTTTAAGTTTTCTCTCAGCAGACTAAAATTTTTACTGGATGCGTACCTTTCTCCCTGACATTTCTGTAAGTATTTATTTACCTTAGAGAGCTCCAAAATGTCAACATAATAAACATGATAAATTGATGTTTCATGAAGTGTCACTCCCACTAGTCACAAAGCTCATTAACCCTAATGGCAGGTATTGTATCTGAGCAATTGTTTACTTTTAGTTTTGCCCAGATGGAAAAGGAGACCCAGAACTTAAAATCTAGCATTTGGATGAGGCTCACACCCTAAAACACTGACCTGCTTATGAGTAAGTGAATCTGTGCGTATCTGTAAGGAACAACTATAGAACAACTACATCAAATAGAGCAGATAAACTTTTTTTTTTTTGGTTATACTTTTCTAATAGAATTTCTAAGAACAGAAACAGTATGATTCCACTACTTTTATGCTGCTATTTGAAATATACCCTGAACCTTACAAATTATTATTTTGTATTATTCTATTCATAAAGTATATATATAAACAACATACCTCAAAATCATTTTCCATCTAAAATTAGCATTAAGGGTGCCTGGGTGGCTCAGTTGGTTAAGCGTCTGCCTTCAGCTCAGGTCATGATCTCAGGGTCCTGGGATCAAGTCCCACATCGGGATCCCTGCTCAGCAGGGAGTCTTTTTCTCCCTCTGCTTCTACCCCTCCTCTGGCTCATGCTCTCTTGCTCTCTCGCTTGCTCTCTCTCTCAAATAAATAAAAATCTTTTATAAATAAATAAATAAAAAAATTAAAAATTAGCATTAAATGCTATAGTGTCATATATTATCAAAGGAAATATGAAATTAACCAAGTTAAACAAAATCTTCATTAGAAAATTTACTCAAGGGTGCCTGGGTGGCTCAGTTGGTTAAGCGACTGCCTTCGGCTCAGGTCATGATCCTGGAGTCCCTGGATCAAGTCCCGCATCGGGCTCCCTGCTCGGCAGGGAGTCTGCTTCTCCCTCTGACCCTCCCCCCTCTCATGTACTCGCTCTGTCTCATTCTCTCTCTCTCAAATAAATAAATAAAATCTTTAAAAAAAAAAAAAAAAAGAAAATTTACTCAACCAAGAGGTGGAAATACAAAAGCCCTCCAGACAACCAAAGAAGAACTGTGTCATTCCATAATCTTAAGAAATACACTTACCATAAACTATAAATTCCTATTATTTACAATAATCTATTTCATTTAGAGAGCCACAGAGGGATGATATTAATTTGTGCTGTTTCCATGAATTTCACTTAACCATAAGACAAAGGAAATCCAATTTTTATTTTTATTTTTTTATTTTTTAAAGATTTTATTTATTTATTTGACAGAGAGAGACACAGAGAGAGAGGGAACACAAGCAGGGGGCGTGGGAGAGGAAGAAGCAGGCTTCCTGCTGAGCAGGGAGCCTGATGCAGGGCTCAATCCCAGAACCCTGGGATCATGACCTGAGCTGAAGGCAGACGCTTAACGACTGAGCCACCCATGTGCCCCAGAAGTCCAATTTTTAAAAATTATATTCAAATAAAAGGACATTTTCACAAATAGAAAAATAAAAGCCTTAAAAGAAGATGAACGACTTGGGTTTTTTCCCCCAGGAAAAAAATAAGGGGTAAACATTAGCTGAGTTAATAACATGTTAATATATTAAAAATCAAGCAAAAAAGTACTGGCTCAAAACAGAAGATTGCATACAAAAGGTCTTTTGCTTTCTAAAGTGCCTTTGAAATGAGAAGAGAGATGTTTTTAAAAGGAAAAGTCCATTACAGGCCTAGAAAACAAGAGATGATACATACAAGTAACTTTAAAGAAATTCTGTAAGGTTGAAAACAGGTAAGACTGCACATACAGAAAAATAACTGCAGCCTCAAACACCAGAGGAAAAAAGAAAACCCTTCTCAGGAAATTAAGAAGAAAACCCTACCTTTCGAGTCAACAAATACAATAACAACATCAGGATAATTAATTAAACCAGAACAGCAGAGATGACCATTTCTAACTCCAGTAATACAGAGCATAAGGGGCCTACCGCCTGTCATTTTGCCCTCAGGCTAAGAAAGACAACTGCATGCCTGGGATGTATCTCATTGTTGGGGGTAGGTCCCAAGAGAAGCCAAGGAGAGTACTAGCAGATCACATTTCAGAACCCAGAAGGCCGGGGAGGGACACAGTTATGCCAAGGAATAAAATATACATGGTACTCAATCTCTCCTCAATCTCCCTCTGGAGGTCCCAAGCCTGCCTCTGGGCTCCTTGCTTTGGAAGACATGCTGTTGACATAACCCATCTATGTATTCACAGACCACTATCAACCCTCTCATTTAATTAAATTACTGAAGTGAGTCTACCAAACTGCTGAGGAAGGCCACTTATATTAATCAACTTAGTTCCCACAAACAGAAACCAATAACCAAGGATTATCAGACATTTGAACAAATCCAGTATAATGGGGGAAAAGCAGAACAAAGATGAACAAAGAACAACTGGCTTTTGGAGGAAGGAGATAAATCAGGAAACAGAAGAGGATTTAACAAAATTTGAATTAGTATCTTAGAGCCATAAAGGGTAAGTTGCTATGAAAAAGAAGAAAATTTTCAGATATTAAAATATTACTGATGGGGTGCCTGGGTGGCTCAGTTGGTTAAGCCACTGCCTTCGGCTCAAGTCATGATCCTGGAGTCCCTGGATCGAGTCCCGCATCGGGCTCCCTGCTCAGCAGGGAGTCTGCTTCTCCCTCTGACCCTCCCCCTTCTCACGCTCTCTCTCTCTCATTCTCTCTCTCAAATAAATAAATAAAATCTTTAAAATATTACTGATGTAAAAAATTTAGCAGATGGACTAAATAACAGAATGTCCACTGCTAAAAACCAACCTGGTGATCTGGAAAATAAGCTGTGGAAATACTGTGGAATGTAAAACAAAAAGATAAGATGGAAAATAAGAAAGATACACTTAGAGGTCCAATGTGTCTCTAATAAGAGTTCCAGGAACAGAGAAGAGAGACAGTGGAAGGAAAAAATAATTAAAGAACAGCATAAGAGAATCTTCTAAAACAAAAGATAGACAATTTTCACTTAAGTCTCACTAAGAATACCTGTGAAATTTCAGAACATCAATAATAAAGAGAAAACCCCCAAAACTTCCAGAGTTAAAAAACAAACAAAAATCACCAAAAAACTGAAGTTTGTGTTTTAGACAGAAACAACAAAAGAAAACCAAAACAGGCTGCTTACAAAGGAACAATCAGAACAATCAGAAATGAGAAACATCAGAAATTCTGGCTGAGAGTCTTAGTGTACCAGAAAATGTGGCTAAGAATATGCAAGAAAGCATGTATGTGGCCACTGAGGTTCATTCAGTCTGACCAGATTTTTTTTTTTTTAAAGTAATCTCTACCCCCATCATGGGGCTTGAATTCATGATGCCAAGATCAAGAGCTGCAGCAGGCTCCACTGAATGAGCCAGCCAGGAGCCCCCTGAGCAGAGATTTCTGTCCTCCTCTCATACTGGCTCCACCAGATTCCAAAGAGCCAGCAGCTAACTGATGATTAACAGTGAGAGCAAAAGAAACAAACTGTTGGCAGAGAAGAACTTAAGACATTTACCATCCATGCATTCCATATGAAAAAATTACTCCAGGCAGTATTCCAGAAAAATGGAGGGAAAAAAGGTATGAAAAAACAAAGATGAGATTTAAGAACAAGATGATGTTAAAGCACAGAGAAAGCAAACTTCAAGAAAAAACTTAAAAAGAACCCACAGGAACTTGAACCTTGCAGGCCTTCTTTTGAGTCACAGAGATTTAGTGGCACACGATTACAATTCCCATTTTTTACCAACTCTATTTAGTTTCATAATGAATCATATTTACAACATCAAAACACTGTAAATGCCGTTGTTTTGTGAAGATTGACACTTTGAAATCATTAGTTTGCCAAGAGAAAGTATGTATATATTTATTTCTCAGTTTCCCTAGAATTACTAATATTTAAAGAATTGTTTAAGACACTCTTATCTTCAGAGAGGTATAATTATGATGACGATGATGATGATAAAGGTATTCTAAGAAATATTTTCACTGCAAATTGCAGTAGCACTTTGTTGGGGAAAAAGGGGCCAGATTTATATAAAAGTGTTCCTTACCTCAGGCCCACAAAGGAGAAGGAAAGAGGGATACATCATTTCTCTCCTTAAGAAATGCAGGTGCCAAGTTCAGTATACCCGTGACAATCTCTTAAATTATTCTACCTTATCCGTGAGCCTCCACAGAGCAGTGAAAATTTTCTCATTTTCTTGCTCTCTCTTCCTTTACAATGTTAAATAATGTAGTTCTACAAAACTTGTCTTTTGTTTACAATATAAATATATCTACTGAAGATCACCTTAACAGAAGAGAAATAATTTCTGAAATTTGCTCCATTCGTTATTTATAAACATATGGAAAGACATAAATAACAATCCATTAAAGAACTACGTCACTATTTCCATTCCTATATTTCAAGCCACTATTATCCATTACCTGCACTATCTCAATACCCTCTTAACTGGATTGATAAGCTTTTACTCTGGTTCATTCCTGTCGACATTCCATGCAGTGGGCAGAGTGATAACCTAAAATGCAAATCACATCGCCCCCATGCTCAAAAACCTTCCGAAAGCTTTCCATTACACTGAAAGTAAAATTTGCAGTCTATTGGGCTTGAAATGATCTAGGCCCTACTCTACCACTATTCTCTTTGCATACTCCTCTGGAGTTATTCTCGCTGCAAAGCTCATTTCCACCTCAGGACCTTTGCATTGTCCTCACTGCCTGGAAAGCTCTCTCTTCAGAGATTCACCTGGCCTTCTCCCTCATCTCAGAGAGGACTTCCCTGACCCATCTAATATAGATTCCTCATTGCTTTTATTCTTTAACCTCTTACACTGATTTAGTTTTCTTGAAAGCAGTCAACACTTCTACATATTATGTATTTTACTTACTTGTTAATTGCCTGTGTCCACTAAAATGTATGCTCCTAAGGGCAATGTCTTTTTATGGTTCCCTGACCACAGCCCACTCCCCACAGTAACGTCTGGCATGTAGTAGGAGTTTAATGAATACTTACTGAATGAATGCTAAATACCTATTAATACTGCAGCCAAATAAAATATAAGTAGGAAAACAGAAGGAAAAAATACCCCCCCCAAAAATGTTCCCTCTAATCACACAGACATACTTTTTTTTTTTTAAAGATTTTATTTATTTATTTGAGAGAGAGAGAGAGAGAGAGAGACAGCGAGAGAGGGAACACAAGCAGGGGGGAGAGGGAGAAGCAGGCTTCCCGCGCAGCAGGGAGCCCGATGCGGGGCTCGATCCCAGGACCCTGAGATCATGACCTGAGCCGAAGGCAGACGCTTAACGACTGAGCCACCCAGGCGCCCCCACACAGACATACATTTATAGGTCTGCAATATCACTTGCACTTCTTTTGAACCTGAGTTTAATTATTTGTCAGTATGTCATCCTTTGAAAGTGTGGTCATTGTTCATGACTAACTAAGCCTCACAAGCCTATAATGCCTTTGCTAAAACAAGCCATTCATTCTCAAATTGCTGCAAGCCAAGTTGATCTATCCCACATCTGTTTCTATTTCCCAGAAGTCAATGTTTATGCTATAAGGCTTCAGTGAGTTTTCTCTGCATTGTGTCCAGTGTTACAAAGCAGTTCACTACACTGCAGTTTTTTAGATACCTACTATCATTCATTCTTCACTTATATTCAGCTCAGGAGAGTAACTACAATGCCTGTAGATGAATGTATAAGCCCTACAGATTTCAGGATTGGAATCTTATCATTTTATGTTTGAGATGACCAGGTGCTGGTACAAGGGGACCAGTCTCAAATTTTAGGATGAAATAAATTCTTGGGTAAGCTCCATCAGGGTAGGGACCATGTCTATTTTGTTCATCAACTATACCCAGCTTCTACCACAGGGATTAGTATAGAAAATCACTGCAAGAATAAATAATATTAATTAAACAAAAAAGACAAATTACCTCAAAGTTGGTGTGATACTACTAAAAAGAATATAGTAATTAGGGGGCGCCTGGGTGGCTCAGTCGTTAAGCGTCTGCCTTTGGATCAGGTCATAATCTTGGAGTCCCAGGATCGAGTCCCGCATAAGCTCCCTGCTCAGCGGGGAGCCTGCTTCTCCCTCTGACCTTCTCCCGTCTCATGCTCTCTCTTTCTCACTCTGTAATAAATAAATTAAAAATCTTAAAAAAAAAAAAAAAATATATATATATATATATATATAGTAATTAGATGTCAAAAGCAGGAATAAGGTTAGAAATAAAAATAATGTGGCCAAGAAACTAAAACAAATCAATAAATTAAACAAACCGTCCAAGGATATAATCAAGAAAGTAAACCATAAATGTTGGAAATCCAAGACATTTTCTGAATTACTATCAAATACGGCATATAAACAAAAGTCAAAATGAGCCTTCTTACTAAAGCCATCTTTAACTCACAGGAGTGGAAATCTTCTTTGCCGTTTCTGTGATTACTTGTTCTAGAGGCTTCCAGATTTGAAATGCATAGCGACCTAAATAATAACAGGAATAAAAGCAAATATATTTTCTATAATCAAATACAATACCCACAAGGTACTAACCACAATATTTACTGATAGCTTCTTGTATATATGTTATTTCAACAACCATTTCAAAATTTACCAGAAAGTCCTATTTTTTCAAATTTCTAGTTTATTAAATAGAGGAAGCATTTCATTTTAACATCATTAAAAGAGTTACTAAATTTATCAAGTTCTAATTCATGATTATAAAATTAGAAAATGTCAATGTTTATGTATCTTACATTTATACAATATGCTAGGTAACAAAAAAAATAATATCCTAGTACTCCTTCCACCACAAACCAGAGATAAAGTCCTCTCACGTATGTATATTCACATATCTGGTTATTTGTACTGTTTTTTCAGTGATAATCACTTTGAAATATATAGAAAACAAAAACTACTTATGATCTGTACAACACAGGAATAATTTTAATGGAGTTACCTCTAAAGTAAAAAAGCAGTTATGTAAGAAATATTCACCAAAGATATTTACTGTCAATTTCTCACTGAGGATGACTATTCTCCTAAAAACATATTTTATTTTGGTGCTTTCTTTTCTTAGGTATCCTACTAATTAAAACTCCTCTGTCTTCAATAGCAAAACAGGTTCCAAATTGTTTCGAGGGTATGGAACAAGAATAAAATATTACCTGGCCAATTTACCTTTTGTACCCTAATCAGCACATGTATCTACTAATAGTAGTGTCTTTCTTCCCAAAAAGTCTTGCTAGAAAACCCATTATGACACTCTGGACTTTATTCAATTTCCAGCCATAACCTTCTTCGCAAATGAAGATTTCCACTGGGGAAGTTCAATTACAAACATCTTTTAGAAAAAGTTACTATCTAAACATACTGTTATTCCTGTGCAAACAACATGTGAAAGTGAGAAATAGAATGCTAGAAATGGAAAATGGGAAGTAGTCAATCCAAGTAGAAGACAAAAAATTCTTGAGATCAAGGAGAACATTAAATAAAGGGAAATTAAATAAATTAAATAAGTGAAATTAAGTAAGTGAAAGCCTAATTCATCCAAATCTCTTATCCTAGAGATGTCACGTCCATCTGATTCTACAATGGTACAAAGTATAGCTTTTAAATTACCGCAAAATTCCTTTAAAAGCACATATAATCAGGCAGTCTCAATGAAAACAGCAAGCAAAGCCTTCAACAAGTGACCTCTGGAGGTTTACTTGAATCATAAACCAGAAGACCTAGTTCCAACAAGTGTAAGTATACTTTCTCCTAAATTCTATTATTCAGTTATATTTGGCTTTGGAAGAAATGTTCCTGCTATTTAATATTATAGTTAGTAATAAGAACTTGGCGGGGCGCCTGGGTGGCTCAGTCGTTAAGCGTCTGCCTTCAGCTCAGGTCATGATCCCAGGGTCCTGGGATCGAGCCCCACATCAAGCTCCCTGCTCAGCGGGAAGCCTTCTTCTCCCTCTCCCACTCCCCTAGCTTGTGTGTTCTCTCTCTCTCGCTGTCTGTCAAAAAATAAATAAAATCTTAAAAAAAAAAAAAAAAAAGAACTTGGCAACAGCATGGTATATACACAATACACATGCCAATTCTTCTCATTTTAGAAAGAACCTGGCAAAAAACTACAGCATCTTTCTTTAATTGCAAATAAAAATCTTACATTTGAATTTTAAAATAACTATGCCAATAATAGTTAATACTGTAACAGTTAACACTAAAATTGTTTCATGTTTATAGGCCAGTTTGTCAGAATTCCTTTTTGGACATGATAGTCTCCTCATGAAACCTCAGTATAGTTATAATGTCAAGATACAAGACCCTGATGGCACAAAGACCAAGAGAATCTGAACCACTGATCTTCTTGATTTTAAAGTATTTATTGTTAAGGTGCTTTAAAAGAGAGTTGTGTGAAATTAAGTACCATACTTATAAAACAAAACAAAAAATTTTATGTCTCATTTTTTTACTGGATTTTACTAACTCCATATAACCACAATGGAATGTAGCTTCACTTAAAAAGAAGATCCAAGAAACAAAATCAAACCCATGGAACTTGAGATACAAATGCTAAAACAAAAAATGTAAAGCTTTATCAACAAGGAGATGCTCCCAGATTAACATATGATTAGGAAATAGCCATGTAATTTAAAACTATAAATTAATGACTGGAAGAGAGAAATTTTGCTTTAAATTTTTATAACTATTCTTTGGTGATTTGGGCAGTAAAAGAAATTCTCCTGAGTTTATCAAAAAAATTACACCAATGTGTTAAAAATGAAGTAACTAATACATTACAGGGAACAACTATGCTCATCAGAAAAAGCGACAGCTCAGGAAATGTGTAATCTAATCCTGCAAGAAAAAAATCCAACATGGTGGAATAAAGGAACCCCATATCACTTACATTGCTTCATATTAAAGAATTTTTTTAAAGTATACTATATCGCTCAAACTAAAAAAATGCCAGGAAGGTCAACTATTATTGGGGCTAGTTTTCCTAGCTTCATACATTGTTTTTTTTGTTTTGTTTTGTTTTTTTAAGATTTTTATTTATTTATTTGACAGAGAGAGACACAACGAGAGAGGAAATACAAGCTGGGGGAATGGGAGAGGGAGAAGCAGGCTTCCTGCCGAGCAGGGAGCCTGATGTGGGGCTCGATCCCAGGACCCTGGGACCATGACCTGAGCTGAAGGCAGACACTTAATGACTGAGCTACCCAGGCACCCCAGTAGCTTCATACATTGTAAATTTTCTTCACTACACAGTTCATCTAGTTTTTGCTACATTGACAAATGTTCAGTGACTATAAATGGGAGGAAAAAATGAGAATGTATGTCTTAAAACCCAAACCTCAGAATACGGAGGGTCTCCTCATGAATCACTATAGAAACTATTTGAAAATATTTCTTCTGCAACATTTATTGATAAGTATCCTTTATTTATCTCACCTGCAAACGCAAGAGCTGCAACACCCAGTCCTACAGCTATCAAACTTCTTGCCTATGAAGGAAAAAATGATTATCACTTACACAGTCTTACACACTAGCTTTTTTAAAGTAAACCATTTTAAATAATGAAAATAATTACGTTAAATACATTTTCCTCAAGCTCTGCTGTGAAGAATAGAATTTTTTTCTTTCATCTGCAGTGTCTACGGGATTCTACCTATTGCGTACTATATCAGCTAATTTTCAGTAAACCAAAATTATCCTAGGTATCACTTAATTTCCATATATTTGAATTCATTCTACCCAAGAACTTGTATGTTACCTATTACTAAAATATCTTCTGTAGATTATTCTTTTTTTTTTTTTTTAAGATTTTATTTATTTATTTTGGGGGTGCGGGAACAGAGGGAGAGTGACAAGTAGACTCCACACTGAGTGCGGAACACAACATGGGACCCGATCCCACGACCCCAAGATCATGACCTGAGCGGAAACCAAGAGTAGGATGCTCAAATGACTGAGCCATCCAGGCGCCCCTGTAAATTATTCTTAATAGTGGCTTAAATATACTTATCTTCTACAAAGATAAAAAGCACATATTCCCTTTATATTTACAAAGCTCAATGGCATTTGCTATACTTAACATTTTGATAAAACATTAGATCTATGTTTAGTAAAGAAGTCAAACTGCCAAAAATTAGTAAAAATTATGAATAATTTAAAAGTTAATTTACTTCTACCTTTCTAGACTAATGTAAAAATTTTTAAGTAAGAGCCAAGAATTCAGAATCTAAAATTATGAGCTCATTCTGATAAAAATCTATTTTAAATTGGTTATGTACTACATATTATTCTATGCTTTTCTCCTTTACCATCTCAGAAAAATATTTAAGTCACAACAGAAAAGGTTTATGTAGCAGAGATCAATGGTTTCCCCCCAACATCCATTCTCCCTTTCTTCTCTAGGATCAAGAGTTCCTATTTTTAACCAGACATATTTCCAAGCCTCCCTTAGACTATGGCTATGTTAACTAAGTCTTGGCTTTTAAGATAATAAGCAGGGTGGTGGTATGTGCAACTTCTGAGAAGTCCTTTGGGGATGGAGGAAATGTCCTTCTCCTTTTCCATTCCCGCTTGCTGGAAATGTAGACATTCTACCTAGAGCAGCCATTTTGGATAAAGAAGGAAAAACAATGGGATGAAAGGAGACTGTGTCCTTGATGATTATGGAGCTGCCATAGAACCCCTGGACTGCCTTTATTTATATGAGATAAAAATAGAATTCTATCTTCATAAGCCACTGTAATTTCCAGGCACTTGCAACCAAGTCAAATTTTGATGGATACAGAAATTAAGGAGAGACATCACAGAAATGTTTTTGTCTGATTAGTGGTGAGAGAGGTAAATCCACTAGATCCAGGAAAGACCATTAAAAAAAAAAAATCTAGAATAATCTCAGTAGGAAACAGAATGGATTCATTTCACATTGGTGCAGAAGTAGTTAGATGGAGGCTGAGACTAGAGCGATGATAAAACCAAAAAGCCCTACAGACATCAGTCTACAAGTTCCATAAGAGAATACAAGTCTTAGGAAATCAAAGCCCCAAATCTTCAAGGGAAGACTCTATCATGAGAAACACCAGGAAACAAAGAGCACCCGTATGAGGTGCTTTAACTTTAATATCCAGTTAGCTTTCTCTTAGAAATCTAGAGCTCTTCATGGACAAGATGAAGTTTATCTATAGTTCTCAGTTCTAGTTCTAAGATAGACCTTTTCACCAGGCAGTAACACTAGTGCACTTTAGGAAAGAAGATTCTTTCCCTGGCAGAGGAGAGGAAGCCTAGAGCTAGCTATCCAGAGAGGCAAAATAGTTTCCCAAGTTCCTTTCAGGTTGTGTAGACAGGTTGTCCTGAACAGAAGGGAAGTGAGTACTGATTTAAAAGAAGATATTCTGTTGAGGTATATTTTTGCCATTTTCTAGAGCTTCCCTGAGACTATATAGTTTGAAATTTCCAGTCTTATCTTCCACTGGTTCACTTTAATGAACCTCAGTCCAAACAAACTACTCAACTGTTTCATGTGTGAATTTATTTCCCTTCCTTATAACCTTGTTTATTCTTTCATCTGACTAGAAATATTTGCCTTTGCCTACCCAGATAGTTGTTCTTAACTCTTCAGCCTAAATCTGCCACAGAATGGAAGAAGTCATTAGCAACACGTAACAGACAATGAGCACATATCCAGAGACACATATAGGATTCCCTCACATCAATAATAAGACGAGGGACAATTCAATAGAAAAATGGGCAATGAGGTGCCTGGGTGGTTCAGTCGTTAAGCGTCTGCCTTCAGCTCGGGTCATGATCCCAGGGTCCTGGGATCCAGCCCCGCATCGGGCTCCCTGCTCAGTGGGAAGCCTGCTTCTCCCTCTCCCACTCCCCCTGCTTGTGTTCCCTCTCTCTCTCTAATAAATAAATAAAATCTTTAAAAAAGAAGAAAGAAAGAAAAATGGGCAAAAGGTCACAGGCTTCATAGAAAAAAATCTAAATGGTTAATACACATAACAAGTACTCAACGAAAAGAGTAAGTAGGGGATACTAACAACAACAACAAAATGGTGCAGAAATATTAATACCAGCATATAAAGATCTCTAGCCTTTGCGGAACTTGTTCTGTCCATTGAGGCATCCCAAGCACCAAGCAATAGTATCTGTACTTCCTAGGGTTATTGTGAGGATAAAATATAATAATGTATATAAAGGACTTAATATAGTGGCTTGGCACATAGTTAACAGTCAGTAAATGTGAACTGCTTTTAATATTATCAATAAAAATAACTAGCTATTATTGAATATAAGTGGTATGACAGAAGTATGAACAGTGTTCTGTAAACCCTGAAATTTGTCTAAAGGAAGATTCATATAAGTAATTTTTGAGGTAGGCCCTAGAAAATGAATTGGTCTTCTCGAGATTAAATAATCCAAATTTTCACATTTCGAAAAATGCATATTTAAAAAATGTAAAGTCTTGAAAAATTGAGTTAGTCTATATAAAAGTTCACATTTTTATAGATTAATAATTATTGTGTCTTTTTACTACTTCAACTACTCAAAATACAAATAGCTGCCTCTATAATTCCAAAGAGATTTTAATTTAAGGTATTTATATCAGAAACATTAAAGCATTAGGCATTTGATCATTTTTCACTTTAATACATAAACCTAAACTATGTTTAACAATAAAAATTCAATTTAATTCAACAAATAAGTATTAAGCACTCTGCTGATTATTCTCCATTTGTCCCTCCAGATTCATTCTTCACCCTTAGGACTTGCTCTGTACTTCTGCCTTCCCTTATCTCTAACGACCACATTATCCAAGTCCTCACTTGCCCTTTAGTTTCTCGGTGGGTTTTGCCAAGGAGAGGAAGTGTCAAAAAGAACACCAAGCATAGGTTACCAATCACAGGTGAGGACTCCAGACACTTCTGCCTGTTGCATCTTCGTATCAAAGTTGCCAAGGAAAACACTGTAAAAGTCAAGCACTGGATAATGCTTTACTTACATTAGAGAAGATACAGATCAGTTCCAGTTGTATGCATCAGTCCCTTATGGCTAGTGGGTGCCCCCAGCAGCTAGCTGACTAAAGGAAATGGGCCTTCAAGCACCCACCCTTCTGGTGGTGCAATAGAAGGACCTCCCCCCTCTCTACCCCACACTGTCCCTGGAGTCTGAAATACTGATATATCTGAGGGCATATGTAAGAGCCATTGACTATGCTTAAGCAGAACAAAGAAACACTCAATAAGCACGAAACCAGGAAAGATAATGCCACAAAGGTGGTAAACCCAGCACAGGCTATGTGAGCTCCTCTTCTCTTGGTAGGGAAGTATTCTGAGCCCAAGGCCCACTTTTATGTGGCCAAGTGGGACTGAAATACTGTGCATAAGAAACAGTCCTTCCCAACAGGAAGCATCAGCAGAAAAGCAAAAGGTGGAAAGAGATAGAAGTAATGGTACAATTTACTCCCCGCTATGTTTCCTTTTTGGCCACAGCTCCTGTTAAAGGGCTCCTCTTCCATGCCTACAACTCTTACTGGGTTCTGGAACATAATTCCCATCCTCTTGCCCCTTTCCCTGGGTGGATAAATTTCCAACCACTGCCAGGCCCTGGGTGATTTATCCTTCATTTCTGGTTACCTTAAAGCATGCCCACCTCTGCCAATAATCCCTTCATTAAACTATCTTCAAAAAAAACACCACCCATTACTACCTGACCCTCACTAATACAAACATTACATACACCAGTCACTACCCTATGCACAGGGCAAAGACCTATATCAAATGAGTCCTATGTAGGACACTGAACATGGTGGGCCTCCAATGTTTACATTAATCTCCCAAAGACCTTTATTTTTATCCTTATTACAACATTTATTACACTAAGTTATAGTTAAATGTGTTGTGTCTCCTTTAGCTTTTCTAGATACCAAGTGTCTTTTAAAAATCTAATGAAATCAGGGCGCCTGGGTGGCTTAGTCGTTAAGCGTCTGCCTTCGGCTCGGGTCATGATCCCAGGGTCCTGGGATCGAGCCCCACGTCAGGTTCCCCACTCGGTGGGAAGCCTACTTCTCCCTCTCCCACTCCCCCCGCTTGTATTCCTGCTCTCGCTATCTCTCTCTGTCAAATAAATAAATAAAATCTTAAAAAAAAAAAAATCTAATGAAATCTATGGATCACCCCAGAAAACCATAAATATAAATACACAGCAAAATTTTTATATAGTTTGAAGGGATCCAAGGGTTTCTCTGAAGCCCTTCAGTTTATGAGTCCCAACATGAGAATCTCTGTAAAAAAATAAAGAAAGAAAGAAGCTCACTAAACTAAAAAAGGGTGTATCAGTTACCTTTGTGCTCCTAGAGCACATCAGAAACCTGCCATATGTATTTCATTTTTCATTCATTTAACAAGAAAAATATTAATAACATAACAAAATAATAATAATACGAGAAAAGTAATGTTGATTTAGAGTTAACCTCTATTTCTAAAGACT